CAACCCAATCACATCAAAATCTTTCAAAAATTCCCAGAACTCTTCATCCTTCTTTTTTAACCCTGCAACATTCCATACCACCCCCCTTACCCTTTTCCCTCTCCTCCTTTCACCCCTTTCTATTTGATTTAATCCCTCTTTTTTCTTATTCACACTGCAAGCACTCTTTAAAAATTCACTTCACACATACATCTTCTATCGTTCTCCCACACATACTCTTTTCCATTCAGCCATCCCCTCCCAAACCCTACTTTCACACGCATACCTTTATCTCTCTCCTTCTTTGCCCACACCCTAATTGCACTCTGTCTGTCTCTTTCACTCTTCGTCATATCATCATCCACATACACTCTCGTACCTCTCAGTTTACTTTTTTTCTCCATTATCATTCGTTTATCATACATGCTGTTCAATTTTGCCACTATCATACTCTCATTCTCTTTCACTCTTATCATATATGCATCTTTCACATTTATTTCCCTCTCATACACTCCCATTTTCTCAAACACGCCTGTCATTGCCTCTCTTACATTTACATTTCCCCCTTTTACTTCTACCCCTTTTATCACAATATTTAATCTTCTCTCTCTTCTTTCTTGATCTATGTTCTTCTTCTCCATCTCTTGCACTTTTTCTTTTAATTCTTTTAACTCGTTCTCTAATTTCTCTCTTGCCTTTCTTTCTTCCTTTCTTATTTTCTCAATCTCCTCCTTCATTTCCTTTTTTAGCTCTCTCTTTATTTCCTCTCCTTTTTGCTCTACTTTGTCCAGAATTTCTTGTTTAGCTTCCTCCAGCAATCTTCTCATCATCTCTTCTATTTTCTCCATTCTAAATTCTGTCTTTTCTTTTCGCTCCTCCTTCGAATTCGCGTTCTCCTTTTCGATCTTTACCCTCTGCTTCTTCTTTTCCTTATCCTCCTGCTCCGAATCGGAACCGCTACCTCTATTGCGTTTTGATAAATACGAAACAATACTACCGCTCGCACTGCTGTCCCTTCCTTCTCGCCCCAAACTCTCCGCCCTAGTCCGTCTGCCTCTCCTTCCTTTCCCCGGCCCACTCTCGTCTTCCTTCTTCTTTACCTCTATTCCCTTCGCTACGCTTGCGTTCCCCCACTTGTCGCTCAACCACTCATGCACCTTGTCCCCACCAACCTCTGCCGACCCGATTAAAGTTTCGGCTTTCTCTCTCTCTCTCCCAGCTCTCTCGCTCATTCCTCTCCTCGAACCTCTCTCCTCCCCGGGCTCGTCACTGCGCGCACGCCGCGATTACTCATGAATTCGTTCGGTCGCGAGAATACACACTTCCTGTCTAAACTTTCTCTCTCTCTCTCTCTCCCTATCTCTCGTCCTCACTCACTCGCTGGCGATTTTATGCCCGCGCTTGCGCAACTAGGTTCCCGACCGCGTGTTTGCCACTTTGGTGTTTTCAGGTTAGGATGTTCTTTTTCCTCTCTTTCACTCGCCCTTCTTCTAGAAAAAACGAGCTACTTTTTGCTTAGTTCCGGGTTTTACGACCCTCGTCGTCTGTAACAAAAAACTCCCCGGGGGGAAACTCTCTACAGCACCTTTGGAAAACTTTTACACTCTCTGATTAAACTGCGTGTGTCTCTACTCACCTCGCAACCGGAAGTCCATGAGAATTTTAAAGCTTTGCGTTTAAATCTCAATGAACAGAGAGCAAGTGAAAAAAGGCGTTTTTCGGTATTTTTTATTTCTTTTCTACTGAACTAATAGATCGTTTTTAATGTTCCACGTCTCATTTTCGAATACCTACATTTTTTTATATCGATTTTTTTAATATAATCGATATTTTCCGTTTTATAAGCGAAAAACGTGCTTTTAGCAACTATTGAATTTTTTTCGCATATTTTCTTTATAAGTCTCGAGTCTCAAAATGTTACGTCCAAACTCCGCGCGCATGCGGAGTTGAGGGGGTGAACGTAACGAGGAACCGAATTGTTAGACCGATTTGGTCGCGTCCGGGCTCCGGACCGCAAGGGAGCCGTGGGGAAGGACCGACGCAAATCGGGAGGCGCTTCGCTTCGTCCTGAGGCTCCTAACGAGCCGGGGGTCGAACGGAGGACGAAGCGGAATCCTCTGCTCGTGCTCCGCTAAACGGACACACGAGTCGGACGTACTTCGAGAAAGGGCCCAAAACTGGGTCAGTGTGCCGAGAGGGGCGCACTTTAACGCCAGCTGTGCCAGTACGGCCGTATGCCTTGGCTTTCGGTCATGGAACTTAATCCGAGTGACCGGGGAGAAGGCTAAGTGCAATCTCGGGCGAGCTTAAGAATACGAGGAGGGGTTTAGTTTAAATGAATTACCGGGAAGTAAATTTTATAATAATATAATTAAGAAAAAAATAAAGTTATACATATTTTAATTACAAAAAAAAAGAAAAAAAATATAAATATAATTTTATCGGGTAATTACAATTTTCGTTTTCTTTTTATTACAATAATTAAATGTATTCGAGAGTGTGTGTGTGTGTGTGTGTGTGTGATAGGAGAATGGAAGGGAGGAAAAAAAATGAGGGGAGGGGTGCTGTTAGTACAGGACAGGATCATATGGGTTGAGAGAAAACAGATCGAGTGGGACGAGGGACGCCACTGGGACCGAGAAAAGGCCGTCGGATCCTGGAATCCTTACGACGACCAAATCTTGGTTGGAGGGGGAGGAGTGCTCCATGAACTCTAAGAGTTCCTGGGCATCGTGGAAAAGATGGGGGAAGGGAGCAGCGGGAGAATACCCGTGGTGTAGGGTCGAAGGGGTGGTATCGACCTGAGGGGGTGATGGTGGATGCGGGGGGATATTAACTGTAGGAATAGGGGATGGGTTGGAAATCGGGGAATAGGAGATCTCGAGGGGGGGAGATAGGGTGTCTATGGGGAATTGGATAAGGGGAATCGGTTGAATCGGTTCCGATACTGTCTGTTGCGCTAGGTGAAAAGTCCGGGCGCGGGCGGCGAATCTACGCGATCGGCGGGCGGTTCTCGTCAGGCGGCGGCGACGAGGGGCGAATGGACGGCGTGAACGCACTAAAATTTTTATAGTTTTTAATGGGTCCCAAAAAGCAACAGGGAAAGACGGGGGGAGGGGACCAACCGATATTAAATAATTTTGACTTACTGATGATGTAAGATGGCCCAACCGCGGACAAGGTGGCGTCAGATGTTACTGTTAGCTTCAACGGACTTCTTCGATTAGGAAACAGGCTTTTGAATTAGCTTGAATCGCGATAATACACTTGATCCCACTGACTCTATCGGGAACTTCGAGTATCGCGACCAACTCACTGATTCTATCGGGAACTTTGAGTATCGCGACTTATCGCTCGACAAGTACAAGTCCGGAACTTAGAGAAAAATCTGGTATCTCACTGACTGTAAACTGGCTGTCTATATCAACTGACTGTGAACTGACTCGGGGGTTGCGGAATCGCGATTTTTATACTAATCGCCGCAGATTACTCAAATTTGGATTGGTGGAATAGGTTTCGTTAGCTGGGAGTAGGATTTTCTTTCGCTCTTAGATTGGTCAAGTTTTTGGGGGAGGAAAGATGTTGACAGGAATCGATAGAGTGGGAAAGTGAAACTCCAAAATTTTATGACCCTAAGATTTATGGGGAAACGTACGTTTCGGGCGCCGAAATGTCGCGGACGCATCGTCGCCACGGGACCACCCAGAATCTACCCCTGAACGTCGCGTGCCGTTTCTTAAATTTTATAATTACGAATTCGCGAAAATCGTTCGCGACTTGATTGTTAATCTTGGCGTTAATCATTGATTTTTATCTCGGAGCGACATTCATGAGGAGATAACGGATTCTTAGTTTTTAAGATGAAAAATAAAAAGGATAGAATATAAAATTTTAGAGCTTCGAGGAATTCGAGATCTTTATGAAAGAAAAGAGTCGCGTGAGTCCGCCGGACGTAACACAAACATACACATTTCTTTTTTGATGCCTTTCGAGACTTTCGTGAAAAGAAATGCTGGTTTATAATTTTTTTCTGGTAAAATTCTACTTCTATTGAATTATTCTTGCTACTCGAGTTTATGAAAAAAGGGGGAAGTATACTATAGGTCAATCGGAAAGTTCCATCTTTTTTTTTACAAAAATGATTTTATTTAAAAAACAAAATGAAAAAGTACCTTAATCAAAATACTGTCCATCGTAAGCGATGACTTTTTCCCATCTTTCGGGCAGTAAGCGAATTCCGCGGCGAAAGAATGATTCATCTTTGGAGGCTATCTACTCAGAGACCCATTTTTCGACGTCTTATAAGAATTGAAATGTTCCTCTGCAAGTGCGTGTGCCATCGATCGAAACAAGTGATAGTTGGAAGGGACACAGTCTGATGAATAAACCGCATGAATAACTAGCATTTCCCAGCGAAGTGCTTTTAACATTTCCTTGACAAGTTTTGTGATGTGAAGCCGAGTGCTGTTATGAAGCAAAATCATTTTATGCTATCTCGTTTTATATTCTGGTCGTTTTCCGTGCAATGCTCAGCTCAAACGGATAATTTGTTCTCGGTAGAGGTCCCCTGTAACTGTTTGACCAGATTTATCACAACTATACATTCATTAACATTCAGTGTTCGTGGATCATCGAAGTAGTAATTTCCATATGATTACGGAGGTGATCAAGCAACGCGAATGGTGGTGCGCATTCGAATAGATGATCGTTTCAAAATACCATAAAATTAATTCTCATAATATTTCTTCATAAGACTCTGATAAGTTTTCCTTACAGGGTCCTGATAGTTTTTCTTTAGGGTCCTGATAATTTATCCTTATTTCTTAGGATATTGATAATTTTTCCTTATAGAGTTCTGATAAACAATTTGTTACATATCATACTGGGCTCAAGTGATCTAATCTAATAAGGTTCGATTAATTTTAGCATATACTAATCTGGTCCTTTTTTGAACCCTAACAATTTTCTGCATGGGATGTCATATATCTATTATCATCTGTTGCAATCTTTTTTTTTAATAGCGACAACCAATGTCAGTAAAATCAACATTTTTCATTTTCCTCATGTCGGCTCTTGCAAAAGTATATTTATGTGCATGGCCAGCCGATTATTTGTTAAGTGCAGTAAGTTACGTTTATATGTATACCAAAAACAGCTTGATAGAAATTAATAAACTAAGAATATTCTCTCTCTCTAGAGCACTGATATTGCACATGCTGTATATGATTCGATATGGTATGAGAGGAAAGTTGATTTCCAAAAAAATTTTGTACACACTCTATTGCGTGCGCAACATCCTATAACTGTAAACGTACCTTGTATGCTACCGACTGTTTCATTAGATTATTATGCCTCAGTGAGTCACCCATTTTATCTCATAGTATTTTTGTTAATTATAAAAATATTTTATATTATTTAATAGATGTACATGTTTGAGATATTGTCATTTTTTTACTTTTATTTGAAATATAATATAAATGAAAGATTATTTATAAACATTTATACATGTTTTTACCAGGTGTACAAGTATGAAATGCGGATTTGAGGAAACAGATGGCGCATCAATGCAATGTGTGGTATAAAGATTTGACTGTTATGCCATTTTGAAGTGCCATCAACAAGTGTCAGACGCGCACGAGTGATAAATTGAAAAAGTGTTTGCATAGTGTTGTGTTGCTGTGTTCGATATGTCGAAATTTATACCAAACAAAGAGCATTCGCGGACAGCATTAATTTTTTGTTTTCATTTGAAGAAAACTGCTGCCGAATCATACCGATTACTTTGAGAAGCTTATGGTGAATATGCTCCATCGCGAGATGGAGATGGATACGTGTGAACGATGGTTTCGGCGTTTTAAAAGTGGTGACTTCGATGTTGCAGACAAGGAACATGGAAAACCGCCAAAAAGGTACGAAGATGTGCAATTGCAAGCATTGTTGTACGAAGATAATTCACAAACACAAAAACAACTCGCAGAGCAATTGAGCGTTAGTCAACAAGCTGTTTCCAATCGCCTACGAGAGATGGGAAAGATTCAGAAGACCGGAAGATGGGTACCGCATGAGTTGGACGGCAGGCAGATGGAGAGGCGCAAAAACACATGTGAAATTTTGCTTGCACGATACAAAAGGAAGTCGTTTTTGCATCGTATCGTTAGTGGGGATGAAAAGTGGATTTATTTTGAGAATCCCAAGCGCAAAAAATCATGGGTAGACCCAGGCGCACCATCCACATCGACCGCAAGACCGAATCGCTTTGGCAGAAAGACGATGCTCTGTGTTTGGTGGGACCAGAAGGGTGTGGTCTATTATGAGCTGTTAAAACCTGGTGAAACGGTTAATGCTGGACGCTACCAACAACAATTGATCGATTTGAACCGTTCGCTGCTTGAAAAAAGACCAAAATACCAAAAGAGACAACACAAAGTCATTTTTCTTCATGACAATGCTCCATTACATTCGGCAAAACCGGTTCGCGACACGTTGGAAGCACTCAGCTGGGAAGTTCTACCCCATGCGGCTTACTCACCAGACTTGGCTCCTTCCGATTACCACTTGTTTGCATCGATGGGTCACGCACTTGCTGAGCAGCGCTTTGGTTCGTACGAAGATGTGAAAAAATGGCTCGATGAATGGTTCGCGGCAAAGGGGGAAGATTTTTACTGGCGTGGTATCCACAAATTGCCCGAAAGATGGGAAAAATGTGTAACTAGCAATGGAGCATACTTTGAATAAAGCTCTTTTTATCATTCTTCCGAATTTAACGTGTTTTTTTTTTAAATCCGCATTTCATATTGGTACACCTGGTATTTGTCGCAAGTAAAATTTCCTGTTTTTTATAACAAATATATAAATTAATTTTTTTATATCCGTTTATTATTATTTATATACAAATGACAAAATTTATATAATTCTTTTTATTAAACAATGTAATTGTTTAAATTATTTAAATTAAGAAGATTATATTTGTAATATTTTAGTATGTTTCAACTGCCTTTTCTTATCTGGCTACTTTTCGAATTATACTTGAAGAAAGCGATGAGGATTAACGAATTGACGCTAATACGATGAGACTACATTTGTTCAAATTGTATAAATATGTTTGTGTAATAATTGTATATTTATTAAGTTTAAAGAGCGTATTTCTGAATAAAAGTAAAATCACGTTCATTGACTCCGTTTCTAAATCAAAATCATAGATTGACGTGATCATCTTTACACAAAAAATCATAATATATAAGCTGTGTCTTGAAAGTTGAAATTCTAGTCCTAATGAGTATAAAATAATTTATTTTGAATAATAAGTTCGTAAGATATTGTCTGTTAGATTTAAACACATAACATTGATTTTTCTTTAAAAATCGATTATTGTTTTTTTAATAAAAATAATCATATGTGCAAATTATGGTATTTCGATTCAGAAAATAGTGATTCAAAATAAATTACGGTAAATACTTATGTGGAAAAGGAGCATCACCTCCAATGACCATGATCTTGATATGTATGTTGACCCTGAGTGATCTCCAACAGGTTTTAGATGGCGGTTTGTTAAAAAGTTATTAACAAAAAAGTTTGAAAAATGATGTCTCTTTTCTACTAGAGGAAACAGAAATTTTCTGTTTTAAAATATATTTTACGACTTTCTACGTGAAGCGAAGGCCATCCAACATTACAATATGGTGAAAGTCGCTTCGCGTGGAAAGTCGTATACCCGCCCAGACGCACTTTTGGTCAGTGTAACCGATAAACTTATGTAAAAAATGTAAGGTTATATATGTAAGGTTATAAAACCAAATCCTAATAGGCACGCGCCTAAAGGCTTACTCTCTGTAATTTTTTTTCGATAAAAAAAAGTGAAGGTGAAAAAGTGACCTCCCCTACAAAGGGAAAGGTGGGGTGGAAGTCGCTTTGCGTGGAAAGTCGTACATCCCGAAGCAGGGGAGATGGGGTAGAAGTTGTTAATAACTTTTTAACGAATAGAGAGAGAGCGGCCTAAAACCTCTTGACGATTACTCATGATCTTGACAACATATGTCAAGCTTAAGGTCATTGGGAGTGGCGCCTTTTTTCTAAATATATGTATATTTATTCTATATTTTACTTTCTAGCATTATAAAATAGATTAAATTTTTTTATTTTGACAATTAGGTTTAAGTATTTGTAATAAATAATAATATATAATAATTTAAATGAGAAATAATAAATATGAAATAAGTTCACATTAGTTGCTTTGTTATTAAATATAAATTTAAGATAAAAAATATATGAAGAGAAAAGAAAAGTTATGACGATTATACTACGATATTATGTGTAGTTTTCGATATTTATATTCTGAGATCGTAAAAGTTTTTCATTCTGTTTAAACATTATAACATGGCTATTTATTAGTGGCTATATATAATATAAGGTTGTAAAAATTGTATTTCAGTTTTGTAGATAACAGATATTTTTACGGATGTGTATTTTTTATACATAATTTTGAGAAGTATGTTTTGGTACTAATTTTGTAACTTTAATTTAGCTTGGAGATTTTAAATGTGGATTTCAAATCATATAATTGAATTAAATTTTGAGAATGTGTGCATGTATTTGACATATAAAGTTATACTATTGGGTACCAGCATGATACTATGGGTACTAGTTGGTAATATTCCATATTCCCTTTTCTACTTCACAATCTTTTCTCTTTCAGTTTTTTAAAATTATATTCGTTCTGTATATCCGAAGAATTTCTCTTTATAGTATAATTGATATCGCTTATATTAATGGCTAACAAAATACTTTTATAATTATGTTACACGGATATCAACGTGAGTTATTAAAAAAGATATTGTAGAATAGTATTTTATAATCTACTTCCTTGCTTTATTTACATATGTATGGTATACATTAGAGTGGTTGTTATTTTAACAATTTTTGAAATTTTATTGAAACACCCTCCCAAAGTGAATCAATATCTCAAAAAAAAATAACACCTATATTTTTTCAGATTTTTTTGAACAATTTTAATCTGTACCACCGGAGCACGGGTTTGCGGAAAAAGACCTTTGTGGACAAAATTCGGCCGACATTATATTCTAATTCTTAATTAATTAAAAAAATTTTTTTTTCTAATTTGCTCGTAATTGAATGAGCTATAAGATCATTTTGTGTAAATTTTGACTACGCTTCAAATTAAAAATTGCCGATCTCATATTTGTTATCGTAAAATTTTGATTTTTTCTGCTAACTTCATTGGATTTGCAATTTTTACTTTGGATTATAATCAAAATTTACGCAAAATGGGCTTTTAGCTTATTCAATTTCGAGTAAATTAAAAAAAAATTAAATTGATTAAGAATTAGAGCGTCTGCCGAATTTTGTTCACAAAAGTATCTTTCCGTCTATCTGTGCCTCAGTGGCATGGGTTAAAATTGTTAAAAAAATCTAAAAAAAATATGGTGTTATTTTTTTGAGATATTGAACCAGGGGATATTTCGATTAAATTTCAAAAATTGTTAAAATAACAACTATTCTAATATATCTACATGTATATATAGCAAAGGCCTGTGGAGATAGATTTTGAGTAGAGCCTACTATCAATTTTTGATTGCAAAAAGGCAACAAAATTGTGCACAGAGTTTATATTATCTGACATTGTGAGCAAATTGCTGTCAGAAATATGACAAAACTAGACATGCCAGCAGATTGGTAACAGAAACCGAGCAAAGTCCTGCATATCCTGATGATTTAGAGTAGAACCATGGTGGAAGTAATATTATTTCCAACATAAGCAGAACCTGATTTAAGCAGATTTGCTCAGTTTCTAAATACTACCAATCTGCTGGCATAGCTTGTCAGCAGACTTCGTCGACAAATCTATAGCTGGACACAGATGGGACACAGCTATAATTTTGTAGTCAAAATCTGATCAAGTTTGCTATCAATTTGGCTCTAAATTACTAATATTTTTTATTAGGGTACATATTTATACTTATTGCAGAATATTTAATATATGTATATATATATATATATATA